TCTTTCACCTGGGTGAGGGTTGCACCTGCCACGTGGGCCCGGGCCCCTGCAGGGACAGCGTGGGGACTCACTGACACCCTCCAGGGGCCTCTCCGGGTTACACGTGGGCCCCGCCCTCCCGGCCGCTGCCCACTGGTTCTAGCCCTGGTCTTGGGGTGGGAACTTTGGAGCCCTCTGTCCCCCGCTCCGCTCTGCTCTACCCCGGTCCCCCCCAGCCAGGCTTACAGCCGGGCGTCCTGAGCAGGGAGGTGGTGATGAGTCCTCACTCGCACCCAGGGCACGGCGGGCACAGCGCTCGCCAGTCGGGCAGAGCTGTCCTCACAAACAGGCTCAGCCACCTCCGTCCCACTGAGAAGGAGGGCTGTGGGCGCCGGGAAGGGCCGGAGGCCAAGATTTCCCTGCGCCCTGCCAGGGCTGCACTTTCCCTCGTTTTATTCTTTTATGAAAAAATAAAATATTGTCATAACCAGCTAATAAGAGTGCACTTTCCCGTGTGCTGGGTCTCTGCGCCTGCTCTCTCTCTAGATCCCAAGGCCCCCTGGTGGCTCTCCAGGACCCTCGGGGAGTCTCTGCTCCCCAGGCCCCAGCCTTCTTCAAGGCCCTGCCCAAACTCCTCTTTCTGGCGGCTCTTTGGACTTGCCCGACCTCCAGACCCACATCTCTGCTGCCTGAGGCCCTTTGGAGGCTGAGCTCCGCCGGCTTTCCCAAGAGATCTGGCAGGTCCCTGAGCGCCAGCTCGGGGTACACAACTATAATATTGTCATCCCTGCCGCTGCTCCAGATGGGGCGTGGGCACCCTCCTCCACACCCCTTCTTCCTCATTTTTCTACCTGTACTCCCCTGCAGGTACCCCTTCCTCCCACCCACTGATCCAGGACAGTCGCAGTGAGCTACACCCGTAGCCATTTTTTACTTGTTTGTTGTTTGTTTTTGAGACAGTGTCTCCCTATGTAGTCTGGACTGTCTTTGAACTCACTTCATAGCCCAGGCTGGCAATCCTCCTGCCTCTGCTTTCCCAAGTGCTAAGATATTACAGGCAGGTTTTTATTTCTTAATTTGAGACAGGTTCTTGCTAAGATGCCCAGGCTGGGCTCAAACTTGCCATCCTCCTACCTTATCATTTCTCAATGAAAACAAAACAAAGCATGTAAGGCCACACGAAAGTCATTGTGTAAATCCTCTCAGTTCCCTTTTGGGTGACAGTGGCTCCCCAGGTCCAGGCAGGTGCGGCCTCAGACACCTGGCAGCTTGGTGTTGTGGCCTCCCCGGACCACGGTGACCTCTGTCACATCTTGGGTGTGGGGTGACTTGGGGTGGCTCTGCGCCCCTGTGGGCTGGGCTCAGAAGTTAGGTCAGTGCCCAGCTAGGTGGAGGGAAATCAGAGGGTATGCTGGTGCCCAGGGTGGGGAGTTCTAAAGGTGGCAGTGGAGGCCAGTGTTGCGTCACCATGGTCAGAGATCTCGGTCAGAGGCCCCATCCTCCCCCAGCCCTGTCCTCAGCTGCAATCCATTTTCAGTCACCTGGACAGTCCCCAGGGCCCCAGGGGCCATGGCTAAACCCAGGCCTGCAAGGCTTGGTGCAGACCAACAGGGTCACCGGGCTCTGGACACCCTCCCTCTTGGAGCAGAGTTGTGGGGACCCTGTGAGAAGCCGGTCCTCTGTCCCCGGGGGATTGAGCCTATGTCCGGGGACAACACAGTCAGGAGGCGCAGCCCTCAGTCCCCGGCAAGTCCCCAACATCTCCGGGCTCCGGCCCTCTCCTGTGAGTGGGGACCAGAGTCTTGCTCCACAGGACAAGTACATTATGATGCTCCGGGCCTTGGGCTTCTCCCTGCCTCAACCTCCCCGAGCGCAGAGATGAGAGGGGACCTGCTCCCCGCAAAATCGCACTTGTCAAGAGTGACTCCGCCTCCAGCTGCTCAGGGCAAAGCCTCCGACCCGGAGGCCCCCAAGCCTCATTTTCAAAGATTCCTGGGGAATTGTTCTCCTTATTTTTTTTATTTATTTTTAATTTTAAACTGGCACATTAGGGCCAGGGATGTAGCTCGGCGGCACAGCAGTGCAGCATCTACCTGGCAAGCATAAGGTCCTGAGTTCAGTTCCCCGCACTGGCAAAAAGAAACAAAGGGAAAATACACTGACACAATCCAGACGCATACATTTATGATTACAGTGTGGAACAATTCCATCAGTTAGATAAATTAACACGCGGAGCAGCTCTCACTTCAAATTCTTATCATTTCTTTTGGTAAAAACATTGGAAGTTTACTTTCTTGGCCATTTTGAAATGTATAAAACCATACATTGTTATTTACCGTAACTTATTATTTACTATATTCAACCACCGTGCACTATACCTCAAAGGGAAAAGGAAACCTCATTCCTTCTGTCTGACCAGCACCTATGCCTTTGACCATCATCTCTCTCCCATCTTCCTCCATGGCCTCCAGGCACCACCCTGTCCTTTTGTCTCTTTGAGTTCGATTGCTTCATCTTCCATATACAAATGAGAATGTGCAGTACTTTCTTTGTGTCTGTACCTGATTTCTTCTACATTGCGCAGTTTTCTCCAGCACCAGCCAGAAGAGCAAAATGACACAGGCTCTTTTTCCAGGCTGAATAGTATTCCACCGCCAGCTCTCATATCTTCTTTGTCCATTCATCTGTGATGGACACTTAGACTGCACCTGGCTATTGGGACCAGCGCTGCAGTGATTCCACACAATGATTTTATCTCTATGGGGTTTCAACCCAGTAGTGTGCTTGCTGGATTGTGCGGTAGTTCTAGCTTCTGTTTTTTGAGGAAGCTTCCTATAGTTTTCCATAATGACTACTATTTATAATCTCCTCAGCTCCTCAGCTTAGGGAGGTGAGACCAGGGTGTGCCCTCGGCTTCTCCTCGTCCCCACCTGGAGAACATGTCCCCTTTGCAAACACCTGCCATCGTCCAGGCTCTGGGCCGGGTGTGAGGGGTGCAGAGGGACCCGAGGGGTACTGGGCTCTGAGTTCTCCCACCACAAGAGAGGGGATGTGGGTCAAGGGAGTGCTTTGCACACAAGTGTTTTCGGAGGACTTCTGGCATTACTTACTTTGTCCCAAGTGTTCCTGAAATTGCAGCAGCTGGTGTCACCTAGTATTTTCTCAATCACTGGGTACTAAAAAGAGAACTATTGTCATTTGCCGCCCCAGGGGCATTCTGTGGGTGTGAATCAGAAAGCCCTGTTTTGGAAGGTTGGGATCTGCAGGCGCAGTTCATTTCCCCGACTTACAGACAGGGCCACAGAGCCCAGGGGTCTCTCCTCCTGAGTGGAAAAGCTCTGGGAAAATAGCGGCCGGAGCGGGGCAGCAGCCAGGTAGGAGCCGGGACTTGTGCTGGGATGGAGCAGGTTCGGCCTGCTACTGGGTGTGATCACCCACCAACCAAGTGCCAGCCTCCTCCTCCTCCTCCTCGTTCATTTCCCCGACTTACAGACAGGGCCACAGAGCCCAGGGGTCTCTCCTCCTGAGTGGAAAAGCTCTGGGAAAATAGCGGCCGGAGCGGGGCAGCAGCCAGGTAGGAGCCGGGACTTGTGCTGGGATGGAGCAGGTTCGGCCTGCTACTGGGTGTGATCACCCACCAACCAAGTGCCAGCCTCCTCCTCCTCCTCCTCTC